AATTTTATAATAACCAAAATAAGATTGAAACATAAGCTGTGTTTGTTGGGAAGAATTTTGATTTATTTTAAATATTACAATTGTTGTTTGTTATTTTTGTCTTACAGCATTTTCAAAATTTAATCTCAATATCATATAATGTTTAATTAAATGCTTTTTTAAGCTATTTATTGTACTTATTAAACATTCTAGAATTTTATTAATGTTTTTTTAATTTATATTAGTGCTTAACATAAATTAGGGTTTAATAAAATAATAGAATATAACAAAATATATTACTTTTTCTTTATCGCTTCTTCCTCCTCTTTAACATGGGTTATTAAAATTAAAACAAGGGTTAGAAAAATAAAATTGTACACCTTCAAATCTGTCTATTACACGTTCTCTTTAGCCAAATCAAAGCTTTATTTAATTCACAAAAGTAAATATTGACAATTGTTACAATCATGATTTGCTTTTAGAAAACATGTATTTATTCATAAAAGTTTTCAAAGTATGTGTTGTGATATTATAAACTTTTTAGATTATATTTTTTATTATTAAATACCCTTGATTTGGATATGTCTAACATAGTCATGATTTGCTTTTAAAAAACATGTGTTTATTCATAAAAGTTTTCAAAGTATGTGTTGTGATATTATAAGCTCTTTAGATTATATTTTTTAATTATTAAATATCCTTGATTTGGATATGTCTAACATAGTGAAAATATATCAAAATAGATATTATAGAGTTGTTAGCTAATCTCACTATACAAATTACTGGTAACGATTTAAAGACTAAAATAAAAAAATTAGAAAAAAAAAGAGTTTAGAGCTCTCACGGATGCCGAAAATATTGAAGAAATTTTAGAAAAAACTGATGATGCCATCATAAAGACACATGAACGCATGGAAAGAATAAAGAAATACAGAAAAATAACGTATGAATCTTGGAAGAAATATATGTTTTTACAGTTTGATAAAAAAGTTTTGAAAAGAGAATTTTTATGAAAATTTTAAAAAAGAGAAGAAAGTTGTGTTGAATTTTAAAGGTATAAAGAAAATTGGGAGAAAGCATTATTGAGGATGATGAGCTTATGTTAGAAATAAACTATTTAGGATTAAGGAAGTCAAGAGAAGAAATCAAGCAGAATACATTTAATTTAAAAGAATTTATGATGAATTTTTTGAAATCATAAAGAAGTTCGTTTTATAAGAAAAGAAGCATATCATAGGAAGATATATGCTTAAAATATTAATAAAGACAGCAGAATTATTAGAAAAAAGAAACTAACAACACCGAATCGATGGAGGATTTTATAAACGAGGATTAAATTTATATAAAAAATTTGGGTTGTAGGACGATCTTTGACGCTAATTCAGTACATAGTTTTATTACTAAAAATATTCAAATGTCATCAAAAAAAAGAACATTTCGTTTAAAAGAACCATTAACTTTCTTTACATGTTTACTTGAAGAATTTAAAATTTGAGAATTTATCTACTATTGGTGTTTATCATAATTGGGGTTTAATAAAATAATAATGTACAGCATTTCCGTCCAGGCGGTTAGTCTCATATCTAAGTTACTTTAGTCCTTTCAGCTTTTCATGTCATAGTACCTTTTCTTGACACATCTTCCATTTCCCAATCTTATAACATAAGAGTCGTTCCTACATACTTCTTTAACTATGTCTAAGAATCTTTCTTTGCTATGTTTATTACATCCGTTCACATTTTCATTTTTGACTATTCTCACCTTTTGATTTCTAGTAAACTTCTCTCTATAACTTTTCTCAAATCTACCTGCATATTTGCTCTCCGGACTATTCTCTACATAACAGCTAGACCTGCTTTCTACTGCTTCAATTGGCGTACATTTTTTACCACATGATAACTGTTATTGTATTATTCAATCGCTTCATAACTTTCTCGTCCATGTTTATTTTCTTACTTTCTAAAATGCTATATTTCATTGTTCTTATAACTCTCTTAACACGGTAATTATTTTCATGTGACTCTATAGAAACTTTTTGGTGATTAATATTTAGCTTTGCATAATATTCTCATTCCCACATTGCAAAATTCTTTGCCGTTGTTTGTCACAGTTTTTTCCAGCTTCTATCCTTGTGTGCACAATTGTTTTATAAGCTTTCTTATTGTCTTAAACCTTTAACATAACCTTCTCGTGTGATAATCGACAACGACTACTACATACTTTTCTTCTCTAAAATCAATTAAATCTATGCGTATCTCTTCACATTTTCTCGTAGTATTTATAAAATCATATCCTCCATTCGTCTTTTAATTAAACTTTTGCCAAGCTTCACAAGTCTTGATAAGTTCGCTAATTTGATCATTTATCCCAAGCCAGAAGGATCTTTTCAGCATTTTGTAATAAATCTTTGTTCTGCCTTTATAGCTTAGGTTCACATGACAGTCTTGTATCAATTTATCCCTTCCATTGTCAAACATCCAACTTTCTTTACTGTCGACTATTTTACCATGTTTATTTCTTTTTTATTTGATTTGTTTTTCTTAATTCTATCATTCTCTTCTTTTCTAATTCCTGTGCCGTGTATATTCTGCTTAAAATATCAGCAACTACCATTTCCTCTGATTTCTTGTATCTCATCCCAAAGTCAAACACTTGAATCTTTTCGACTCATATGTTTACATCTGTTTACTCCCGCATTATTACAATCTAGTTTGTTTCTGACTTCCGCTAACGCCTTATGTTTATTTCTATTTTAAGTTTCCTTTCTCTTAATTCATATTCAAATTTCTTCACTGCCTAAAATACAGCATACATTTCTTTTTCCGATATACCATATTTAATCTCCTGCCGGTGTAAACTTTTTAGAAGCCCGCTGCATAAGCACCTTTTCATCTTTGTTATTCAATTGTAATAATATGGCACACATCCCAATGTTACTGTCATCCGCTCTTACTAAAAAATTCTTTATCATAATTAACTATTTGTAATTTGCCTAATCAACTAAATATTTCTTTCAATTTAATAGATAAATTATTCATTTCTGCTGTCCATTTCCAGTTTTTTTCTCTTCCTTTCAAACCATCTGTCATTTTAATCGTCTCGGAGGAATAATTCTCAATCCAATTTCTAGTCATCCTGTAAGACCAAAGAATCTTCTAACTTCTGTAACACTTTTTGGTGTAGAGAACTTTAGAGCTTCATTTTTCTTGATTTCTGACGGAGTAACATCTACAGCATTCAATGTAACCCTTAGTAATTTTGCCTCCTTTTTGCAGAACTGTATTTTGTTCGGATTTAGTTTCATGTTATTTTCCTTTAATCTTCTATAAACTTCTTGCAACAACACGCAATGTTCTTTAATTGTACTGCTGTGTATAACTATATCGTCCATATAAATTTTATCCCGTTCCCCTTCAAATCTCAAAAAATATTATCCATAACTCTCTTTAATTTTGCGGCGAATTCTTGTCGCCGATGACTATTAAATTTCATTCGTATACTTGTCCGTTAAACTCAAATGTTGTCTTAAATTTGTCTTCTTCACTAACCTTATTTCTATAAAATCTTTCTTTTAAATCTACCGTTGTTAGTATTTTCACATATCTTGAGTTGCTCTAATACATCTCTTATATTTGATAATTGATATTAATCTTTTTCCACTATATCATTTAGCGCGAGCAAATTACTTACTAATCCAATATTTCCATTTGGTTTTCTTAGTGCCCCAAATGGTTTTCTCCGCGCCAATGTTGATTTCTCTTCTTTCTAAATCTTCTAAGTGTTTTACTGCGTCTTTAATTAATACTTGCGGCATCATCTGCCCCCTTTTAAAAACTTTTTTACCTCTTTCTGTAACAATTTTACATTTTTCTAGTCTACAGTATTTAATTTTATTCGTATCTTCCCTTAAAACTTCCTTAAATTTCTTTACATACTCCTCTAAATTCAATTTCTTCCTTTTATAATCACCTTTGCTCAC